AGAAATTTTATTTTTAAAAAGGAATGTGTTTAGTTTTTTTAAAAAAAAAAAAAAAATATATATATATATATATATATATATATATATATATATATATTATTATGGCTTACAGCTAATATCCCAACATTTCAAAAAACATATTTAATACAGAAATGTTGAAAAATATCGCCACCACCACAGTTGCCTATCGAGTACAGAAACTAGGATCAATAAAGCAGATGTTATTGTCCTAGGAAACAAAATGTGCATCTTAACAAATTTTGTCACTTTCCTAAAACAATGATCCAAGTCATTTTTTTAACTAAAGATGATGTAGGCAAAAGAAATATTTATACTTTTGACAAAAAATGGCTTTGACCATTATTTCAGGAAAGTGATGATATACTGATGTTAGACTAGATTTAAGAAAAGAATAATAATGACAATAATACCTGAACGACACTAACAGATGAAATGGCTTTCCAAATCATCGACTACGAAACGGGACTCCCCGAAGCATCGTGAATCTTCTCCAAACTCTTAAAGCTGCAGCTGTCTGTGTCATTAGTTCATCCTTTCCTACCACACTTTTTCCTTCCACTCAATTTTTCATTAATATGGACTCAGACCAGCTTTTTTCATGATTGTGTAGTCCAAAATGACGTTTCTATAATAAAAAATTAATTTTGTTATGCGGTTTTCATTAGCTGTAAGCTATAACAGAAGCTTGAAATACTTCACTCTATAGTGGATCTACGTAGAGGTTTTTAGTTTTCGATCCAAATTACATTTATTAAACGATAAAACCTTTTAATTTGTTTTTTGTGTTGCACCTGTATAGCCTTTTTTTTAATGTTTTATCCATACATTCATTTACTTGGCATGCATGCCTCTGTTTCACCAAAGACTTTCTGCTTTTTCCTCTTCAGCAGACGGAGGAGCTGGCCTGTCTAATATCAATGAGCGGCTTTCTTCAAATTGCCAACAATACTCACAGAGAACGCCATTCATCTAAACTTAATCAGACAGCAGATTAAAGTTTGACATTTTTTCCAACCTCTTCCAGGTAGTGAATTTTATTTAATCTTTTTAAATCCTCTCTGTGCCATGGACCTGTCAGCTCCTCTGTCTACAACGAAGCCATCTCCACGTTTTAAGCATTTTATTTTCCGTGCCAATCGGCGTGCGCACGTTCCACGCGTCCTGCAGGTTTCCCTCGTTCGCACCACAACTCTGTCGGCAGGGGGAGAAAGCACAATTGGAAGTATCTGATGTCTACCAACTTGCTACAGGCGTTTTCCTTTTGGCCTTTTCAAGCTGTGTTGTCTTAAACGTTTTTTCTTTTTCTTTTCTTTCCCGTTGAGTTTGTTCTGAAAGTCCGGTTTGATCAGTCTTAGTTTTTGGATGACTGTGCCTGTGCCCCGTTCATGGAGTGAAATGTGCGGCGCTGTTCCTCGTTTTTTTTTTTTTTTTTTTTGGTGAGTCCTCGTGAACCCTCCTGTTCATGGATCTAGTTACCTCTCCTAAGTGCTTTTGCTCTTACTCCAAGGATAACTTTGAAACTTTGCCTCCTCCCTTCAGCGCTCCTTCCCTCAGCCTTTCCCTCTCCACCATATCAAAGTACTTTTGTATACTGGAGTATTCACTTTTACGTAAAAGTACCGTTTATGATGATCTACTGTAAATGGTACTTCAGATGGGAAAGAAAAACAAAAATCAGATGATAGGGATCCTTCCACCGTCCTTGATTCTTTTCTCCTTTTATTTTTTTATTTTTTTTGTTATACGATTTTAAAGAAGTTTTGTGCCAGAAACTGCTGGATCAGTCGTTTTTGCAGTTCTGCCTCGGCTGTTTTTCTTTTTCCTGATTGAAATCGGAAGCAGCTTTTCTTTCTTCTGTAAAGAGGCC